TTACTAATATACTAATCTTGATATTTTAGTCTGTCGAAGAGTCGAAAAAGATGCAACCTACATGGAATTACGACAATTATGAAACCATTAAGAGAAGAGTGTGGTGGGTTCTCATATTTGACTTTTAACACGTAGTAGAGTGGCTCTACCACGGGGAAGTCATATTATGTTTGTAGCTCGAATGGGTCTGCTCGATCGGGGAAGGAACACGTTCTCACAGAATATCAGCGTAAATTAGTAGCTTAATGTTGAGAGAACTGGTGACTCTTTTTACTGGAATCGAGACATTCCACCTTAGTCCTCAGGTGTAACAACAATTCTGCATTTTGATTCTTAATCGACGATAGATGTAGGTGTCTATGTCCCTTATTATATACAAAATGGCATATTAGTAAGATGTAAAAACTCAATAATGATACCTAATAAGGATTTGAAGCATTTTATCATTGCCGATTTCAGCAGCAATTAGAAATTCCTTATCTTCGTGCAGAAATTCTACAGCCCTTATCAGATGAGGATTTTGACCGTCCGACCGAGTTGATAAAAAACTACAATTTGATCGAACACTTGTTAACGACGTACCGGAAACATCCAATGAGTCATCCGGCGGTTCTGTTGATGAGAAGGATATAAAAATAAGACAGGCAATTCAAAGTATTGAAACTTATACATTTTAAACGTTACAAAGGTCTGAGTTAGTAGAGATGAACCACGAAATCTATATAAACATTTAATAGAAGTCGCATGTCGTCGCCTTATCGACACTACAGTTCTAGTACTATTTCTTGTACTATTATTTATTCTGTGGTACTATCAAGGATTATACTGCTCTCTAACGAGACAATACCTACTATTTCATTGCGCTACAGGTCACTTAAGTGAATTATAGTATATTCGGTGTCAATTTAAACAACAAAAACTACAATTGCTATATTTCACTTTTCACTCTTCACTATTCTACGTGTGCTTATAACGCTCAAATCTAGAGCGTTATAAGCGCACGTAGAATGTAATGTGAATACAAAAATTACCATTTTGTCTTGCTTGCAAATGTTATACATGAATAGGCCGAGTTGGTGACAAAAAGTTTGTCTGATAGACAGGCGAGCTAAAGCGCGGGCTTACCAGTAAATCCCGTTGGATCATCTCAAAACTGCGTATTTGTGAGCTCACGAGCCAGGTTCGCGGCTCGCCAGCGTTGTATGAAATTTGATTGACACGCTGCTTCAACAAACCCTAATTAAGAACTGTTTGGCTTGCCGGTGTATTAGGAAAGACAAGTCGCGAGTAAAACCACCGCAAATTTTATTGGCTCGCTCGCAGATTAGGACCTAAGTATATTCTCTTAAACCTTATCACAACACTTGTCGGTACGAGTTTACTGGAGTTACCTTCTTCTCCATTAATTATCAGTTTCTGGAGCTATGTAGCAGGTCCGCTGCCACTTTAGTTCATAGATCCGTTGGACTGGTAGGTAGGTTCCAAAATTTTATACGCCGATATAAAAAATTATATATTAGCTTGTACAATGACATGCAATCCGCTTGTTTTGATTTATTTCTTATATGTGCTATTGTGTATTGCGTAAGAAGTTTACGGTAAGCGCAAAACTTCAAACCATACATTAGATATTCTGGGGACATTTTTTTTATAATATTATATAATATCTATAATACTAAATTCTACAAATATTGAGTACCCACATTATGTTTACGTACATGGTTATTTTGCAATAACTAGCCATGTATGCAGAGAAGGTTCAGAATAAGTAATATAGGTAAATGGTGAAGAAAAATTAATAAAAACATCTCAAACATTCTGTCCTTTTTATCTTTTAAATTCAGAATACATGGTAATGCATTATTTTAACTGATTGTCATTCATAAATATCTAACGCCTACTATTTTATTACATACGCACACATTCGTAAGGGTCGATCGGTCGCCAAAAACGTTGTAAATTGAATCGCACACAGAGGAGCGCACGTACGCGTAATTCTGGCTCATAAATCACATTAAATTTGGGATAATTTCAAATAAAATTAGAAGCCTTATTGACACTTATTTTAAAAAACTGCAATAATGGTATATCATTATTGATATGTTTGAACTTAAGTTTAAAATTTGGCTACTCTTTAAAAATAGCCCTGTACATATAATATATATGAATAGATACATATATAATCAGTTCAAACAAATTATTAGAAAATCATATACGACGTTAAGAAATTAGTGTGATCATTCTTGCAACGGTGATGCAGTGTGACGCGCGTAATTAATGTTAACAAGCGTTGTTTTGTAAGATACTCACGAACTAACTTTTAGGAAAGATGCTAACTAAACCTTTCCTTTTATGCCATCGGCTATTTAGCAAACTATTTAGTTTGAAATAATTGGACAGTGTAGGAAGTATATGAATTAGATGATATGAATTAGTAATATGAATTTTAAGTAAATTTAATCTATCCGTTTAAAATTATCAGCAGTGTGAGTGTTGAATTCACTTGCCTATTTAGCTGCGTTCTTTTCATTAAGGCGAATATTCTGATATCAGCTATGTCATCGTTTTGCGCAATACGTGAATGTTATTTACTTGAGCTTCGCATGGAAGACAGGAACTAGAGCGACTCCTACTTGTATATATACATAAAAGAAAAAATTGTAAAACAAAAAATTTATTGTATTATCTACTGTTATACTTCGGTTATTCTAAATTTTTGTCATCCTTAGTTTTTACCTCTTCATACATAGAGGAAATTTGAAAAGAAACATATTGTTCTCCTTCGAGGATTGTTTCCATTTTCGGTACTTTTTGTAAAATAGATGGTTTCTTTTTATTAGACATTTCTGAATGTTCTAAATTTATTATAGTGTTTTGATTTTGAAGATACGAAATCACAGCCGACTCATTGTCATTTATTTCTTCTGCCTGTATGTCTTTTTTAGATTCTTTTTCTTCAACATTTGAATATAATAGATTCTCGCGATTAGACAACGTTCCATTTTTAATAATGGTTTCTTGAAGAATCATTTCGCTTTCAGTATTAGTTTTATTAAAAATACTTGAATTAGAGCTTTTGATATGAGAGTCCACAACAATGAGAAGTGTATCTTTGTCATTGGCATTTAACCCAAATTGTCTACTGGTTTGGTATGGCAAATGATTATCTTCACTGCAAAAAATATACGACTTAATAGCTTCAAATATATTATTGTTGGTGGTTATGATATAATTTATGAATCTGGTACCATGGACGAAATTAGTAAATTGTTTGTGTTGAGCGATCAGCCCACATTAATGAGCTGGTTTTTTTATCTAAACTATATTTACTAAAGACGAACAGTCGATTTTGACGTTCTGCTTGAAGAATCCGTTGACTTTTCATCAGATTTATAACATGGTCCGGTAATATTTGTTCAGAAAAAAATAAAAATAATACGGACTGATACAAATCTTTAATTAACCGGTATACAAACATTTTAAAATAGTTAAGAAACCAAAGAAACGAATCATACTTTGCTCGAGCCAACGCCAAAACATCTTCTGCGTTTTGTGGTGTACTATTTACTGGTCTTTGTTCTATTTCTTCAATATGGCGGTCACTTATTCTATCCGTTTTTTGACTATCATTATTCATTATAACTAAGAGAGAAATTTATAATTGGTTTCTTAAATTAAAATGGAAGAATGTCACGATGATCATGACATTTTTTTATGTTTATTGATGTGTGAATGTGACATTGACAAATTAATTAAAATCATAAGTAAACACAAGGCTTTCAAGTCCTTATTTATATATAAATCCTTATTATATTTTAAAAAAAATATATTTTTAGAAAAAAATATACACACAAGGATATGTTCTTATTATTATAAATTTTAGTAAATTTTAATTCTTCTACAAAACGTTAATATAAAAGTAAAGAGAAGAATGAAATGCGGTCATAACTATAAAGTAAACGTATCCCCGTATCTCATTAGCCGGGGCAGAATGCTGAATGAAAATTATTATTTTTTAATTATTTCTTACTTTACAAACGTGAAAATTTGTGCGCTTGGATGTTCGACGCTCAATCGCGCTACGTCTAGACTGATTTAATTGAAATTTTGGCGGGAGCTAGATTAAGTTATGAAATAGGATATACGACACTTTTTTCCTCCATCTCGGTGGAGTAACTAAAGCGGACAAAAGTTAGTCTTCTACGTAAACAAGATTTCTGTTAAAGTGTTCAGACTGGGAACTGTTTATTAAATTGTGTTAAGTTACTAGGATAACGCTCGACTTTTGGAACAGAGTTACGATAGAGAACATATAGAGTTCTTAGGCTGGTATTCAGAGACAATATACAACATAATAGACGGTAATAATGTGTTTCACAAATCTTACTTTAACACTTTTTGTAAAATATATAATTGAAATCAAACAATCGTACTTGAATGAAAGGAATACTCTTAAAATGAAACTCAATTTTTAGAATTACACTAATTTATTACACCAAGTTTATACCATTTACAAACTAAATCTAAATACTGTTGAAATGCGAAGTTTAACTTCCCAATATGTAACTGTATGTCATAAACCTAAAATGCAACTAGCCTGTCGGAAGTGTTGCATTTAGCTATTTCAATTGATTTAAAGATATGTATATATAGTGAACCGAGGTAGGAGAGAGTACAATAATAATTTACATTAGCATTTTTAACTTTTACATAGTAACACATCGTTAGGCCATTCCGTAACAAAACTTGAAAATAAATTAAAACAGATAATATTTAATTCTATTATTCTTATGTCTAATTTGGTTAATAACTATAAACTACAGACATAATTAAATGCGCAACAATCTCTCAACCCGTGAAATCGCCTTCGTTTGCCCATTCGACAGAAGAGTCATTTTCTTACAATCTTTTACCGGATAACACCGAGTTTACAAATAGAAATATTTTTATATATATGGAAAAATTTTAAGGAATGGATATTATTATCTCTCGAGGAATATTTAAAGAATCAGTCGTCGGTACACGGGAATATCTTGCTCTTGAACACGTGGCGCAGAACGAAGAAGTTCTGCGAGTGTGTAAAGGTCGTCACGAGGTCGATAATTATTCTGATGCATCATACCGTCCGAACGTTTTCTTGCCACCATGAATCGTTTCATCTTGTTCGCGTACTGTCTTTTACGGCGGTTTTCCTCATACCTTTGGGCCAGTTCGTTTGGATCTACTTGGTACATATCAGGCAAGCCATGCGCTAATGCCATACGATTTTGTTCAGAGAAGTAGGAATGACGGGGAAAGTCTCTTTCACGGGGACCGATTACGACAGGTTCATTATACCATACATCGCCATTTTCATCCACTTCGGGTTGATCTTCTTCTAACGCGTTCATTCGGCCATACCAACCATTATGTTCAGTAGCCCATTGATTTGCGTTCCATTCTTGTTTTCTACGTTCCTGTGCTTCCCACAAGTTTAATAATGCGCGAACATCAGCAGGACTTAGGCCAGAGTCACGCTTGCGGCGTTCCGAAATAGGCCTGAAAATTTAATCAATATCAAAAAGGTTTTTTTTAGAAGTAATTTATAACGATTTTATTAATGTTTCAATTGATATACAATTGATGATAGGAATAGATGTACTTAAGTTTAAGATACCTGAAATTTTTCTTATTTCCACCAGAATTTTTAGTTGCCGTTTTGGCTGATGCGGCTGCTCCACCTACTTTAGTGCCACTTCCACGTTTTAGACGATGAACATCGTGATCCTGGGACATCGAATCTATTGGTGACAGAGCATCCTCGGGTCTGCGAAAAGTTAAAATATATAGATATATAAATATTTAAATAACTATTAAAATCTAAAAAAATATTATCTTACTTCAAATTCTTTTTGCCCGAGCCAGATTTGGTGGCCACTTTAGTTGCTGCACCAGCACCTCCAACCTTGGTGCCACTTCCTCGTTTACGACGCCGAGAATCGTATCCAGAAGATAAACCTTCCATGGCCGGTGGTTCACCGTACAATTCAGGTCTCATGATAAGATTGTCAAGCTCACCAGTTGATTGAGGTGTGTCAAAACGCTGTTCCACATTCTGTTCATAGGCCTCCACGTTTCCTGAAATTATTAACGTGTGTTCAAGGTCTTATCAACACTAGAGTTCTAAAGAATCAGTCTATTTGCTTTCGTTGTCAATTGTTTCCTGTTTTTATATTTATATTTCGTTACAAAATTATAGAACATAACAGTACTAAAATAATTTATGGTATATACTGTATGTTTTAGGTATCGATAAACACCAATGACCTAATTATCAAGACCATACTGTTAAATAAATAATTAACACAAACTACCTTCTTCACTTAAAGCAAGGGGATATGGTTCAAGATCATTTTTGTCGCTTTTATTCAGAAACAGAGACTGCGTATCATCTTTTGTTTGATCCCAGTTATCTGGTAGTTCACTGATTGCACCACCATCTAAAATCAATATTTTTAAATACAATAAATGACTTACAAGTATACTACGTTTATATAACTTTATCTAATAAATTAAAAAAATATATCAGGGTAGATATCCAATTAAAGAACAAATCCCCTTTTGAACGTCCATGCAATTACACTAATCTATTTTTATGACTGCAAAAACTGACAGAGTTTAAATATCAATGATCATTATACAAAATCCTTATACTGATAAATCTTGTAAACTAGATGTCTTGATTACTGCTTGATATGGGCTTCGTCCACCAGAAGATTCGTCGTAATCTCCACGTTTGTTTGATAGGATGATTGGTGATTGCACCTTAGACATTACTTCCCGTAACCGGTCTGGATATTTTATATCCGGTATAAATACAAGATTTTCTTTCTCCGAGTGTACCTTTACGATACTCACGACATAAGCTGGGGTGAGAGATTCTCTTACTCTGCACGTGAAGGTCAATAAATACTTATGCGTATATTATAATATGCTTGTAATTGATATTGATTCTAGCAGTTTTATTTGTCAGATAAGTTATGAAGTTGCTTTCTGATTTTTTTTTCAGGTTGTCTCAGAAGGGCGTTGTACGTGTAGGTATGTTTGTCTTTTGCGTCTTGACTTTTGTCTTCATCTACGAAGTTTTACAAGTTGCATATTTTTCTAATAATACAAACACCACGGTCGAAAGATGTAATAAAGTAATTGCTTATAGCAATATAGCTATAGCCTTAAATTTTACTAGGTATTAATATTTATAATCGAAATTTTAATTGCTAGATTTGTTAGGTGGTAAAAACAAACTTACTGACGTCATATCTTCTTATATAAATAACGGTGGTTAAATTGATGGATGGATGGACAGATAAGATGTGAAATCTTCCAATCCGCACTGGAACTGTGTATCAAGATATCTCCAGCTCGGTACCACCCTCAGAAATTGCATGTCTCATAATATTTGATTTAATAAACTTTATTGATTTCTCTGAATTTAAGTTTTGATTTATTTTTATAAAAGTTTATGTAGTAATAATGTGCTAATAAGAGAAACACCCATTATTGAAATTATAATAGGTCATGTTTAGGCGAGGGTTGAATAGAAAAGGTCATAGTTTACACTGGTGGAAGGTGTTTCGCAGTTAGATAACGGCGCAGTTGGGCCACCTGTTGCTAAATATAGAACGCGACCCGGCCTCCGCGTGATCGATACACATCATAATAACATTAATAAAAGAACTCACTAAAATATAAATACATACACAAACACAGACACATATTAAAAAGTAAATTACTTTTTCAATTTATCTACATCTTATAAATATTAAACATACCTTTGTTATTCGTAGGTGCAGGCACCGCGTCGCTAACAAATAAAACCGCGAATAACGCGGTAAAAGCTACAAGTAACATGTTCACAGCGTGGCAGTATTTGGAAAAATATTATACAGTATTTAATATTTAATTATAATATAAATCTTTTCAGAGTAACACCGGATGCGATAGCGAGGTGGGCACACTCAGGGAACGAGTGTCGTCTGCTGGGTACCACTGGAGAGAAAACCCATCGGTCCTGTCGATACATTCGCGACATGCGCAGTGAGCACGCCAGAGGCGAATTCATAACTTGACAATAAAATACTTACATATATTATTGTATAGCCTACGACAAGCAAACTTAAGAACTTGTGTAGCACAAAATATTATTAAACATTAAAATTGATATCTAGCAGTATTTTAAACCCTCTAACAAATAAAAAGATTGAAAATATATTTTTAATTAATTCGATGTATTTATTTGTTCTTAAGCGTTAAACTATGTGGTATACAATAATATATAGCATTTATATTTTATTCGAAATTTGTTTGATACTTGATATTCTTTTGTTATAATTTGTTTTGGCTACCAAAATTTATTTTGTTGTAGGGCCATTAATTTAATAAATCAGTATAATGCAATATAATATATTTAGGTGCTAAAGTTATGACTTATGACTTAAATCCACCCCTGATTTACGGACGTCTGAGCTCGTTAGATTAAAGTTAATTTAAAGCTGTTTATAATAGGTATATCTTATTGCTTGGAAGATGAAGCAGCACCAGCGCCGTCGGCACTTATTAATTACATTACATTAAGCATTTTCCAGCTTCTTGCCCGTGACTCGAAGCAAATAGAGGTCGTTTCCATGACAACTCCGTACACGAATGAAAACCTACAAAAACCTACGCCTACGATAAAATTACCCGTCGTCGAACCCTATGCCTACTCTAAAATAATCTTTATTGTTTTATATAAGTATTAAATATAATCTTAATTCTTGTTACCTATTTAAGTTGAATTAAAGAAATTATAAAACTACATATAATTTTAATGATGATAGTAAGAATAAGCAATATTGACAAATAAAATAGTTAAAGTTAAAAGATAATCAAATTATTTGTCAAACATTGCTCCTGGTCAAATTCGAAATCACGTTCGTTTTTAGTTTGAAGGTGCACAATAGCCGACGTTAACGACAGTCATCTTCTTGTTTAGGCACTTTAACTATACAAAAGATAACTGACCGAGGCAATATTGTACCCGATTCAACGACGTCCTGTGTTCGCACTGTAGGTATCCTCTCATTTGAAACTTCGACTTATTTATTATTTCCTTTCACTATAAATATTGAGATTTGTAAGTCCACGTGAGTATTACGAAAATATTTTAGAGACGAATACTTTAAAGTTACAGCCTAATATTATACGTCTCACAGCTGGACACTTCTCTTATTTCTAAGAGGCTTGTAGAGGGAGGAAATGTCAGAATCGCTGCCGCAATGCGTATTGGCGGAGTTTGGATAATAGGTAGTTCTTCTAAGACATGTGAAGAAAATTTCCTTGCCTTAAAACTCTTTCAGAAATGAGACCGGTGCCCAGTTATGTGACGTAGGTATATTATATACCGAATCTGTAGTTTTACTTTTTTCTTTTACTAAAACTAGAACTGTGTTTATAAATTATATTAATTATAGACTTCTTTGGGCTTTGAACTTAGACTCGCAAATTATTAGCTCATGCTACGAGTATCGTCAACGAATATACTAGTATTGCAATAGGCCGATAGACAAATAATAATTTGTCTATCGGCCTATTGCAGTCCACTGCTCGGAAAGCACTTAAAATATACCAGTGGTTCGAAACGTAAGACTCCTATTATATAGTATAGGTACCTACTCGTATAGCGGACAAAAAACGCAGTGGTTCTTTTTTATTTAAAAAAAGAAGAAAAGGAAGATCTTTTTTGTTCAGAAAAGATTCGGTTATTCCGTTGATAAACATTAAAACAGTCAAACTAGGGTGGATACTGGATACGCGTGTTCAACTATCCACCCCAGTCGGGGTGTATAATCCGAATTTGTGTATTATTTTTCTTCTGATTTTCTCTCTCGGCTGTATACAGTCATTTATAGAAATAAACATGATAAACCTGACCCAATATACTTTGTAGATATTAACCATACCTATAAAAATTTGTACTTACTTCTTATTTGCAAGGTGAACGCTGAAATAAAAGGTACCTCATAGGACTACACAAATTAATTGAAATCAAAGTTAAAGACAAACATCCAAATTTAGTAATGTCTTTGGAATGTTGGCAAAAACGCCCAGTTTTTTCACTAACATATCTGTTGTAGCAAAGAAATGTAGAAAACGATTACAATGTTTTTGAGTTTTTGAAAAAAAGAGACCAATTCATCCAGGATATCAAATTAAGTCTTTTTTTATAGAATAAGGGTGACAAACGAGCACACAGTCCACCTGATGGCAATTGGTTGCTGTGGCCTATAGACATCCACATCTATCTTCGTTTACGAATTAAAATGCAGATGCGTTGTCAGCCGTGAGGACTAAGGCCTATTTTCCAGTAAAGGGTCTCCGGTTCTCTACACTCACCATACGGACACACAACAACAGCATTAAGCTGCTATTTTACGCTGGTATACTGTGAGAGCGTGGTCCTTCCCCGGTCGAGCCCACCCATTCATGCTACAACTATACTATAAAAATATAGCTGCAGCATAGCTCTACCACGTATGAAAAGTACTCTACAGTGCACTACTCAAATCACTCACTACTCAACAATGAAATTAGTTTTGATAATTTTCTAGGCATATTGCAGAATTTATAAACAACATAATAATATTATTTAAAAAAAAGGTAATGGAATACGTAATATGATTTTTGTTTAAGTTTGTGGTTATTAAAAATTTATAAAATTTGGAGTATAAATTTATTTTGTCATCTGGTTAGTCAGCGTAAATATATAAAAGAATAAGATAAATGTAAATTAAATATAGTAAAATAAATAAATAAAAATACATAATTAAATAAAAACGCCACCAGATGGAAGCCCTCGGAGACCAAACGGCCGAGAGTTAGGGGGACAGGGAAAGAAACCGACGGACGATATCGAGGGGCACCGCCTTCTGCATTTGAGCCCGGACCAGTCTGTTACGGAGTACCAGTCGCCTCAGATGACCTTAGAGGCTGAACGGGATTAATGCGTTCGCAGAAACGACCACAGGAATAATTTCGGTCGGCAAACCACCCAACATGGCGGTCACCTCGTGAGTCAGATCAAGATATTTTCAGTTCACTTATCTGTTGCGGCTTTCAGGAGGTTTTCTCGTCATACAGAATTTTAATGTCGACCAAAAATATCCTTGACTGTGCCCTGTCCATCAGCACAATATCAGGCTTATTTGCAAGAATAGTCTTGTCTGTGATGATGGCCCGGTCCCCGTAGAGCCTGACGCGGTCATTTTCGAGCACGGCTTCCGGCATGTTATAAGTACATAAGGCAATTTCCGAGTCACAAGACCGCATTTCAGGGCAAGCTCCTGATGTAGGATCCTGGCTACTAGGTTGTGTCTATGCAAGTACTCAGAGTTAGAAAGCGCCGAACAACCGGAGATGACATGCCTAAGTGATTCACCGGGATGGCGACAAGCTCGACAGATGTCGACGGTGCCACCCCTCGGGATTCATTTCCGATAGTTGTTGGTCTTAATAACCTGATTTTGTATTGCACAGACAAAACCCCCATTTATCCCCGAAGAGGTCACCAAAGCGTAGTCAGTGGAGGGAGGCAATTGTGTCTACAAGAGACTCATGTAGAGCCTTGTAGAAGCTCCCTTCTTGTATTATTATTATTATTTATTTATAAGAGTATATTTATTGTTAAAGTGTACTTGGGGTAAAAAGTTGGAGGAAGAATCAAAAGTGAATCCCCGTTTAGGGTGGATAGATAAACACGCGTTTCCAAGTATACCCTTGAGTAGATTTCTTAGAGTGGATAAACAGAATAACCGAAAAGATTGCCTGAAATAAAAAAAATCAATTAACCACAACGGGCTAACTAATTAACACAGGTCCACTTATCCCGCCGATGCATCATGTCATGCGATTACATGGGAAGTAAATTAGACGATTGGCATTTAAACTCAGGAAGTAGTAACTAGATACCCTAACCACAAGCAAAGAAAAGGGTGGCACACCGGCAATGTGTACATACAACAATACACGACCCATTTCGAGCCACTTTTGAATCCCCATACCTCAAAAATTCTCACATTTGTTATTTTGCTTTGAATCATGCGTGTCACGAGCATGAAATATCTATTAAGGTAAACAATAATAATCTCTCTTCTTCTCTTGTCTTATCGCGTAACTAACTTAGTTTAATGATTATGAACACAGCATAAATTTTGTTGTTGTATAAGTTGGCCTTAAGGCTTCCTTCTGATCATATTCCATTAGCAAAGTTCGCTTTTTTAATGGAAAAATAACCTTCACTGCATTGTGATGTAACAAAATTGAAGATTTTGTGATGACATTTGTTGATGGAGTGTATCCAGAACGAAAAAGATAGACAGGCTTTGCTTTTTGGATGTCGATCTAGATCAAACTCTAAATCAAGGCTGTCTAGAGTTATTTCGGCTTGCTAATATGACGGAATAATTATCCTCAGACCTTCAGTATATTTTAAATAGTATTTTTAGTATAGTAGATAATTAATTTAATTAGTACTCATAATTATACTTTCATATTTTTAATTTTGTTCTATAGTGTTAGCAGTAATCAGTATAAAATATGTTGGGATTGGCATGATGCCTGATTTAGAGTTCCGACAGCCCTAGGCTAACTATGAATATTACCCCCCCCCCCCCTGGTCTGTTCTGTCTGTGCCTGCCCAGCCCACGAATAAATTTACTAAAATTTTAGTTTTTACTCTGTAATACTATTATTTATTCCGTGGTTTTACTAGCTTTCCACAATGCGGTTTCACCCATATTAAAACAAATATTCCTGATAGTAAGTGTCGACGTTGACCATGAACAGCTGCCGATCAAAACAAGAGGCGATCAGAA